AAAAGAAAAGAAAAAGAGAAGAGAAAAATAAAGACAAGAATAAAAAGGAAGATTTAATGACCAGATTCACAACACCCTGCAACCCCTTCTCCACTTCAAAAACTGTCATAACTATTTTGATCTATGCTGCCTGATGGCGTAACCACTGGGGGGGGGGGGCAAGGGGAAAATATCTATCTTTGAAAAATCTTTCCCACCCCTTTATAAATGGCCTTTCATCCCCTGAAAGTGCCTAAAAGTGCTTTTTTAGTTTTAAACCTTTTAAGTTATTTAGACACATAATAGTCCCAAACTGAAGAAAGACAAATTTAAGATAGATCATTTTAACCTAAAAGAAGAGCCTCAATGTGTATAGATGGTGAAAAAATATGTTTGTAATAAATAAAACCATGATGAAAATGCTTATATTTAGTTTCAAACACACGTGTGTGGCCGATATTATAAATAAGATAAGCCCTATGTCGTATTGTTTTCTATATAGGGAGTATGGTTGGGTGGGGGTGGGGTGGGTATGGTAAATTACTAACCGGGAAATGAGGATTGTATGTTATTATTATTACTGTATTATTGTTGTTGTTATTATTATTATGTTGTAATGATGTTATTTGTACTGTACCTGAATATCAGTTAACCTACTGGGCTAAACTAGAAGGGTTACCCTCTTTAAAGATGGTTGAAATAAAAAATAAAAAAAATAAATACCCACTCTGACCCAAGACTCCTGTTACGTGCCTGGTGTTAGCACCAATGTGTGTGACAGGAGATGTTCCCCCCTCTGAAGCTGGAAACCTTGTTTGTGCAAAATAAATTGACGCAATTTGCTATTATAGGCCTAATCAATCAAATTCCTCATCAACCGATATAAACTTAAACATTCTTGGAATTGACATAACATTACTGATGTCGTACACACCCTTCAGTGTGGAATGTGGCTCTCTTTGCAAGCACATCTAACATCTAAGGAAAGAAGAGCTTAGATTGGTACCAGATAAAATAATTTTGTTATCAACATTAATACATTATGCTAATTTTCATCTTTGTAAGTGCATAAGACAGTGCAAATTATTTCTGTGACAGTCTTCTGAAGTGTGTAAAGCTTCATTTTATCCCATACATAATCAAAATATTAGGGGGATGATACAATGGACCATCCCCCTTGTCAAATATTGGGGGGGGGGGATATATATCCCCCGGGATCTACGCCTATGAGTAATATTGTAATATTAATTTTTATTATGTATAATTTAATTTGTGCCAAGATGCTGAAGCTTAATGTCAATTAGTTAATACAATTTTTGGCAATTGTTGATGCTTCTTGTTAAAATGTTTTACATACAGTACCGTATTATTTATACAGTTAAGTGACATTGTGCAGTGTTTAAATTATTTGACATTTTATAATTGAAGTCAATGTTTTATTTCCAATGTTTTAACATGTTTTTATGTATGCTGCTTCTTGTTTGGAGGTTATTTTTAATTAAATTTGAATTAAATAAATTTAAAATTATTTACATTATTTAGATCACCATTCCGCTACCTAAGGGTCGCAGGGAAAATGTTCATGGGTCGCATATCTCTTCAGATCGTGGAAAATTTACTTATATGAACGACGACAAACAAAATCAAAATTATGGTAAACAAACTTGCATAAAAGTGTAAAACAAGTCTACTTGAGGTATGACAACTTAAAAGTTTTAGTTTGTTTATTTCAATGTATTTTGGCTTTCAGATGAAAATCATAATGACATTTACTCATCAATTAAATGGTCTATGTTTTCCAATAACCTATATATTTCTGGCAGCAAATTTGAAGTAAAATAATTTATTTTTTTCGATCTGTAACTTATTGAAAGATTTGATAAAGTTGTGGTCCCGCTATGAGTAATTCAAAGTTATATTACAGTAATTTCATTTTTAGGTCATTTTTATATTTTGGGTGATAAAAAGAATGAAAAGTGGTATCTTTTAATTGGTTGACAAAAGAATTAAGTTTGGCATTGTTCTTCTGACCTCTGCTATCCCTCGCACGTATTAAACGACGGAACGAATAAATTAAAACCAAGATTTCAGGTAATTTAATTTTCATTTATAAATGAATACAAACAATAAAATTATGACCCTATTATAAAGTTAAATAAATAGGATATGTATGTTACTCTGATATAATTTCATTACAGATATCCATAACCGATTACTGTACTACTGTAAAACCTCGAATGGAAGCCCAATAGGCTTAATCTCGAATTGGAGCCCCCTTTTAATTTTGCAAAAGTAGCCTCGAAAAGAAGCCCATGAAAAAGAATCCCAAGAGCTTTTTTTCGAGATAGTAAAATAAATACACTGTACATGAATAAAAAAAAAATATATATATATATATTATAAACACACTTGGTTTATAATGTAGTTCAGTTAATATACTCTATGGTAGGCCTACAGACTGATAATTGTTTTATAGTAGTAATTCCAAAATTTACAGGATTCATTTTGAAAAGAAGCCCAC